ACACATCCAGCAGTTACAAAGCAACTGTATTATTCATTTAGGGTCTGGTTTCAAGCTCAATATTCACTCTCTTCTACTGTAACTCTGTTTTTGGTCTAACTTCTGAGGGAACGAGTTGTTAAGAGTTTTGTTTGGTTTAGCTTCCTGCAAAAACGATGTGAGCCGTGAAAGTGAAGGGAAAATCTCCATTAACCCGGTGGTAAGCTGTCTAGGCTATCTTTAAATTCATCACTATGAGCAACTCCTTTCACATGTGTATGACAGCTTTAAAATACATGACATTTTACACTGATAGAAAATCACGGATACTGACTTTATGAAGGCTTTGAGTGCTTTTCTTTTGTTAACTTGCATGAAACTTGGAAAAAGTTTAAAACACTCGGAGCAAGTTGGCCTCTCAACATTCACAACAGTGTTGACATTGAGGAGTTATAATTAAAGCCTTTTTCCCTCTGACCAGCAGCACTCAAATTTGAGACTAAACTACAAGGACAAGCACCCTTCATTTTGAAGCCCCAAATAATAATTGCATCTTAAATTGCAAACATCTTTAGCACTCTTCTACCCAGAGGCTTTTCACAGTTTCAAAAGCCAGCCATCATTTAGTCCTGTATGATAGATGTCTGTGTCGAGTTACCGGTATATGCCCAGGACAGACTTCAATAAATCTTCAAGCTTCAACATTCGGCCGATCCCTCTCTACACGGCATCTGAAATGTAGCATGACCTTTCTGGTCCCATCAGACTGCCAGCCTGTCTGCTTGATGTGTTTGGGTTTGGTATGTGCTGACAGGAATTTGGAGAAGGAGCGGAGCGTGCAGCCGAAACAGAGATGTGAAGCTATTTAGATCTATCCTGGTTCCTCACCCTTCCATGCCTCTCATTTCAGGATCATTTAAAACCCTCCAGCTACTTAATAGTATAAATTATTCCGAAGTATAACTTGCTAACAAATTGTAGGCTGTATTTGTTACTGTTGTAGGCAGCTCCCATGCTACTCTTTCAAACATTCTTGGTTATGCCCTGAATTATCTAAATACTAGATAACTATTTTTCTGTCAGATGTGTTTTAGTGGGTGAAAGAACCTGATTCTTTGATTGCCATATTCATTGAGCCAAAAGAGGATAATCCTCTTAGAAGGGATAATAACATGATTGCAACCATTAAAATTATGTCACCTCGCAGCCTTCTCCTAATCTTTAAAAAAAAACGTCTCCCAGTTTACTTGAGAAACTCTGGTTTGTACTTAGTAGCTCTGTCTAAAGCAAAGAATTACACGTTAAAGAATCACCTGCGGGTACATAACAAAATATAATTTAATACAGCAGCGTAGGGAGTGCTTTGAGATGACAGTAACATGATATTGATTGGCTGCACACTGAGAGCCTGTCTGTGCTCAGACCAGCAGGTAGTGGCTGTACAGTGGGAACTGGCTGTCATAAGGGATAACTAGAAAGCAGTAGTTTAATAATGCTTTGCTGAGATGTATGTGCTTCCTGTGGTTTTATATAACACCCTCACCCCTTAGCAAAATAGTTTTCCAGGTTTGAATATGTGCAGTATACATTACATTACATGTCACTTATTAGACGCTTTTATCCAAAGCAACTTACATACGTACTGTGGGCAATCCCCACAGGAGCAATTTGGGGTGAAGTGTCTTGCCCAGGGACACAACGACATGCTGACTGCAGTGGGGTTTGAACCTGTGACCCCCTGATCCCAACACCAACGCACAACCCACTACACAGCACGCCTTCCTATATATACTTCTTTCTTTCTTCAATTATAACTGCTTTAATCGTTGCCTGGCTTGTTCCCCCACAGTATTTAACCTGTTGCCCCGAGTCCAGTAGCTGGGATAAAACTCAAGAGTCTCCACTTTCCCCTTAGTCTCTGAACTGTTGCAGTGAAAATAAGAGTTTCTCTGCCTTTTCTAACTAAAAGAGCTAAGTAGCTGTAATATTTAGATGTTCATTCATGTGACTGTTTCAAGCTCAATTTAGGTGTGTGATAGCATGGTGGAGAAGATGTAGGAATAGGCCATGCTTTGCCCCCTGATGGATGCTTGATCACAGTAAGACAAGCTTTGATCTGTCCATAAACATTAGAAATGATTTTTTTATTTCCTGTGAAAACATTAGCCCATCCAAGACATTATTGAATAACTGAACCTAAGCTAACATCTGTTATATCATTATTATGGACCCGTTTTGCATCCTGGTACATCTGGTCCTATAAAAAGACCCCATAATTCCTGGTTGCTATGCAGTTGTGCAAAGCAAACATTGGGCCAGACAACTCTCACCAGATGGACATGCAAACCATGACAGATGACCAACATGTTTAATGGTGGACAACAGACACTTCATGTTAAATGCACCATTGAGTCTTTATTCAAAATAAAAAGCTCTGATATGAAAAGAGGCTGAAAGAGGACCCTTCATCAATGAGATCTTCAGCATTTCTTTCCTTAGAATAAATTATGCTTCTTTGTGTGTCGACCTTGGATACAAATGTGGCACAAACTGCTTTTTCTACAATATATGTTTTGCTCTAGGATGCTTGTCATGCAGTTGTGTTGACACTGAAGTGGAAATACATTCTATACGGTGTACATTTGGAGGCCAAACTGTATTTTTCTGGCCAATGCATTAAGTTCATGTGTAGTTCAAGTGCTTCCTCTACAGCTTTCAATAGAACTCAGTCTTTCAGACAGAACCTGAACTTTAAGCATCTAAGGTTTTAAAACTCACACTCGCTGAACCTTTGAAATAAAAAAACATAAAAGATAAGATTATACATGTACTTAATTGTCTACAAGGGATTTTTTTTTCAGGTAAACACACAGCTACATTCAACCAATAACATAGCTCTTGCACTGTAATAAACTAAATATGTTGTTAATTTGCTAGAAAACCATTTATTGACAAAATATCTATTTCCTGCCTTTCTGCTGTGTAATTGAAGGAATGTCTTAGCTTTAATATGAATTACTATGCTGTAAAGTTTTCATTGAAAACTGTGGCTATAATACAGACATCTATATGTTATAAATGAATGTGTTTAGAAGAAGCGAAGTGTTGCCATTAAAGGATTAAGTGAATTATGAGACCCTGATTTTTATAACAAGTAATACTTGCTTAAATAACAGTGCTCAACCATCATTATGGCATTGTTGGTCAATCCATCACTTTAGTGCTGACTGAAATATCTGAAGGATATGACTGAATATATATTGAATGGATTGTAGACAAATAGTTGTACACACATTTGTGTCGCCCTCAGGAAGATCCCCTGAGACATATTATTTGGTGATCCCCTGACTTTCCCTCCAGTGCCATCATCACACAAAACCTTTTATTATCCACTTTGGTTAAGAATAAACAAACTAAGCCAGATACATTCCTATCAGGCTGACATTGTTTGTTCACACTTATACTGGGTATTTTTGTAAACAGGGTTTTCTAATCGTTTTCATAAAATCCTCACAAGGGTAATTTAAAAAAGAAACTCTGTCAAGATGAAAATCAATTGAAGTGATATCAATGCAAGTGGGCAGTTTGGGCCACACACCTTCAAAAATATTTATCGAGCCATTTCATTGGCCAATTGTATTTAGCCATTTGATTTGCCCATTTTATCAAGCTATTTATTAGACTCTGCATATAAGCAAACAAAGTATAGGGAGCAGAGGGCAGCGCCTTGGGAGCACTATAGGGGTATGGTGCCCTTTGCAGTGCCAATGAAGCAACATTCATGCTCATAAAATGCACAATACCAACCACATACCAACTTTTCTGATCATCTATATGCCTAAGTACAGCCTGAAAGAGGTGCTAGCATGGCTGAATTATTTGAAAAATGAGGTAAACCTGCGATAGGTATGAAGAAAAATACGATAAAAAGTGGCAAAAAACATATTTTTGCCAATCATATGTTAGCCCATGTATATAGCTCTGTACTCGACTGGATTTACCCAAGGAAAAACATCCATGCAAATAAGCCAAGCTGAAATTGCTCTAGTGCGGTGGGTTGTGATGTGTCAGAGTAATAATCGTGTTGGAAGTATCCAAGAATCCATGAATACAAAAAAAGCACTTTCTTTGATTGCATGTGTGGTGGAAGTACAAAGATACCCACTGTTTGAAATGTCAATATCTAAGACCTTGTCAATTTGGTGTAATTCGTCTCATTAACTACAGTCACAGGCATTATATTCCCGCCAAGGGGTGCACACTCTACTTGGACTATTAAGTCTCTTATTACACACATTTCCATTCAATATAATGGCAGTGGAGTGGCGGAGAGATGCCCTGAAACACCCCTTCACAACGTTTTTGGTTGATTTGACCTGTGTTTAATTTTGCATTTCAAGGGAACTTTGTTTTTCCTTTCAATATGAATTCCACATACAAGAATATTGTTCCTTAAATGATCTGCTAGAACAAAAACAAATGAAATGGAGACCATTATTTTTCTTTTTGATGAGATAAAGAGAGCTTAACATACTCATTATATTATTTAGGTTGTGTGGTTACCTTGTTCTTTAATATAAAAAAAGGCTATAAAGGATACTAAAGTCATTCATCAAAATGCAGATCAAATCATAAATCAAAGCAATTGACTGTATTAATCATTTTGCTCCTGTTTCCTATTTAGAAACACCACTTGACTCGTCTCCTTATTTTAAGGACTTTAAAGTGACCTCATTCCATCACATTTACAAAGATTAAAAGAAACACTTTGAGAAATGATTGCATAATTAGCTGCAGGATGTTCAGTTCTGGTAAAAATGAGGAATCTTTTTTTTCCCGTCCTCTTTCTTGCCCTGTAAATAAATGCTTTGCTCGCAAAACGTCTATTGAAAAATGCTGATGAGGTGACTTGAATGAGGGTCTATGGTGTGTGTTTGTGTATGTGTCACCAGTAACCTTGAAGGTGTACAAAATGTATAGAAATTTTGTTTATGGTCAGTCACACAAGGTACGCTGAAGATGACTGGTTTACAGAGAGGTTTGTGCTAGACAAACATAATGTGAACAGTCCTCCAGTCTCCAATTACACTTGGTTAGAATACAATTACAGAAACATACTTCCCAAAACGATTTTCTTCAGAAGATGAAATGTTGTTTTTTATTAAACTATCTCAACAACAATTGAATAACTTGCATGGACATTTGGTAAACACATTCATGGTCCCCAGAAGTGAATTGCAATCATTATTGTATCCCCTTACATCCATCTGCATCATCTAGGCAAATTATAATGTTACCAATGCTCTATGACCACATAAAAAGTGTGTTTATTTGTTATCCCAAATGTATCAGAGTCAGATTGGGCTTTTAAGGGAGGGGGGCTTAAATGGAGGATTTCAGACAGAAGGTGAATAATCTTCAGACAGTATAGGGGAAAAAACATGTGTTTTTTTATATTAAAGCATATCAACATATTCTAATAGAAACCCATGTGTACGAACCAGGAAATGAGGATAATATGTCCCCTTTAAGAACAGCCTCACAGACCCGCTAGCACACTCTATCATGTGTGTATTGGTTTGTTGTCAAGGCCAGGTACAACCTCCAATCCTAGCTTATTAAAAATAATGAATTTGTTAAATCTTTCTGATATAACTTGATAGAAAAAGAATACATACATGGATGAAAAATCCTGTGGATCTGCCGATGGATCACATCTAAACAGGCATACACGAAGAGGCATATTCCTTATATAAGACAGCGGTTTCATATCAACAGTATGCTCTGAAGCTGCCTTCATACTGCTGCTTTGTTAGAGAATTATTCATCTCTCATTCTATTCCTGGGAGGATGTTGTTGACAGCGTCTCATCTCACTGTCTGAGTACAACTGGTTTCCATTAGGGCAGGGATTGCAATATGATGTCTTTGTGGAACATTCAACAGTTGCACTAAATTGTAAAAGCTCCGAAAGCAGAAGTGATACTGAGGCAAGAAAGGAAACATTTAATGTTTATGAATGTGGTGTCACACAGGTCCTGTCAGAAAATAACAGGGAAGTGAGGTCTTGGTTTGAGGTCTTTGAAATAATCCTCTCCTCTTTTCTTTCAACAGACAACTGAACTTTGAAACTGTTCCACATCTGCACATTTGTGTAAAAGCGATACATTGCAATTGCAAAGACAGTCTAACATTCCACATGACAACTAGGTTTTACATTTGTGATGCCCACTGTAGTTTATATTGTTATAAAAATGTACAGAATAACATTTTTGTGTCTCAGTGCAAAAGATATATTTCAAAAGAATTCCAGAAACGCTGTGCCCTTGATAAATGACCCCCCACTTCTCCCCTGGTCTGTGCCCCCAACAGTACAATAACTGGCCTGTTTACAAGACCACCAATAAATAACCAACAGAAGCAGTTTTACAGTCACCGTCAGATAGCAGCAGTGTTTCAGCTTTGACTTATTCACAAACAACAGTGTGTCACTGTACACCCACAATTCATCAGAACAACTCTAACTATAGATAATAATAATTACAGTTGTATTGATAGTAATAACCATAACAATTACAACCAAAAAAAGAAATCCAATGTGTCACATCTGCATTACAATATTTACATTGCTTTTTCAAGTTCTGTGGCTTAATTTCCGTCTGTGAATTTCCCAAGTAAAAGAAGGCAATGAAGTGTCTCTAAGGTAAAAGGCTGGGAGTGGGGAGTTTATCAGCTGGTGCAGATGCTGTTGATGGAGATGATGGCGGGGTCCACCAGACCCAGCTCCTCGTGCTCATTAACGCACAGCTGATAGCCGCAGCCTCGCCTACGCTTCAGCGGGGTCACCTTGGCGTCAGGCTTGGCGCGAGGCGGAAGGAGGAAGCCCACGCTCCCTGCGATCAGCATGTGCCAGATGCTGTGGATGTAGAAGTAGTTCTCCTCTGTCTCCACAAAGGCGTAGAGGGCCACGGCGGAGGTGGCGATCATGGTGCCCGGTAACAGGAAGAACACCCAGCGTTTCCAGGTGGGCGGGTAGCAACGCCGCCGACGGATGGTGCGCACCGTCTGACAGGTCAACACACATAAAACAATGTTTTAGGACCTGTTATTCATCAAATCTGAAGTTGCAAATGGTAATCTATTTGAGCTATGAAATTACACTGACAAAGAGCATAATAATAGAGAAGTAGAAGTGGAGTTGGTTGAATTTAGGTTTTCTTTTCTTTAATTGACTTTAGTTCCAATGTCAGTAACATCATGAAACTCTGTTGAACAACATTGGGGATTTTCGTTCTTTTTTCTTTCCATTTGTTCATTTCAAAGCACACCTGTCATCCCATTTTAGCAAGAAGAGTCATTTCCAGGAAATAACTGCACAATGCCAAAAAACTTCAAATACTGAGATCTATTTGTTTACCCATGAAAATATTTTCCCAATATATTTTCCCAATTCTTTAACTACCTGTAACAACCGCATAGAACCAGAAAGAAAATGTATTTTTGTATTTATGATCAGAGAGCCAGTTCATTACTGATTGAAAATGGGGTTATTCTCCTCTGGGCTTTACGTTACACAGGTAAATGAGATATAACAAACGTGTCCACCACGAAACAGTGTCGCGTTTAAAGTAATGTATAAAACTGGACATTTAAAGTGCCAGTCAACATTATGTTGTTGAGATTTGGTCAATGTGCACAAAAAGCAAAAATTGAGATTAAGACATTGTAAAAAAATCTCCTTTCAAAGACAATTTGTAAGAAACAACATCTGCTATACATTTGTTTTCATAAAATGATTTGGAAACTAAGGCACCCATAAAGTTTATTGCTCACTGGTCACCATGTTTAGTCTTCCTCCTTCCTTGATTTAATGAACACATTTCATGTCAAAACAGGTTATTGAAGTGGGAGATCACACATGCACAGACATTAAAAAATGGAGACCAATGGGATGTGAGTGATGGAGCACCAGGCAGTTTACTTTGAATGGAGGAACAGAGGGTCGGATTTTTCATAAATCTCTGCTTTATTGCCTGAAATAAGCATTCATGACTACTGCTGCAGCCTAGTACATCACAAGGATCATAATCAGCTGATAGAGGCTTTAAATTGGTCATCAGCAATTGGGACGTCACAGCTTTTGCTATATTTTTTATTTATAAATATATTTATAAATAGACGTAGATATACATGTATATGTAGACGTAGAAATAGATGGCTTCATTATTGATTTCAGACTCTATTTTCATCGGTTCATAAACACTGATTGCTTGCATTAGATTGTTTTAGTAGTAAGAATCCGGACATTGCCAAGTAAGTTGTTCATGAAAGATTATGACATGACATGTATGTATGTAATTATGACATGTATTCTGGCAGTAAAATGGCTCTAATTGACTATATAATGACTTGATTATTATGTATGCATTTTATTTCATTGCTAATAATCTATGTTAAGCAAATTCAAGGAACTCGGCCCCTTAGAAACTGCATCATTTTCTGGTTAAAACTAAAAAATTAGACCAAGATGGTCTTGTCATGTATAAAAGTCAGGGACCTCGTTTAGTTTGAGTTAGGGATTTTTGGCATTGACAGATTTGAACTTCTCCCCTCCTTCTTACTGCTCAGGAAGCGTCTGCAGAGCTGAGCAGCAGACGCTTGGTGCCCTTCACTTGACTGATCTAATTCGGTTGTGTCTGGGAACATTCGGAATGCCAGGCTTTGCAAAAACATGACAAGTTGAAATGAAAGGGCTCTTGTAGAAAATGTGCAGCACTCAAACTGAGGGATTGAGGAGGCGGTGCTGAAATGCAGACTATTGAACTGTTGATAAATTATGAAGTGGTGGGTAATCAAAGCTGGAGCAAGTGTTACTTTAAAAATGAAAACAGTAGCATAACTTGCATTTAATGTTTTAAGTTGCTGTGCTTATTTAAATACTGTGGTTAGGAGGCATCGTCGTATTAAGATAAATACTCTGTGTTTGAGACTTTATTTTACTGCTTTTTTTTCATAAAAGTATTGTTTTTGCATTTAGTCCTTCATTTGATAAGGAAAGTAACAGTAAACCAGAACATGATGTTTTACATTTATCTAATAACATATATCAACAAGCTCTCTACAAATATGCTAGAGCTTATAAGGAAAAAGAGCAAAATAGTTGAAGCCAATGGCTTTATGTAAACTCCAAATGCACTCACATTTGAATGATAAACTAGTGCCCTGCATGACTCCTGAAGCACTGCTGTTAATCTAAATCTAAATCATCTCTATGGTCAAATAGATTGTGTCCTTAAACTGGATGATTTACACGTAGGAATTGTAATATTACTTTATCTCCCAGAGTTTGTGTAGGATCCTGCAGCTCATAGAAAGATCATTCACAGTACTACAACTCCCACACTTTATTCAGAGCAAAGCTTTCTCCAAGGAAGCCACAAACCTTGTTTTCAAACTCATGTTAGAGGGTTTGGTGTTAAAGGCTTTTTTCCAAGAACCTTGCCTGAAAGACTATTATTTGTTATCTTTTCAGTTCAGGGAGCACATTATGTCTCGGAGAAGAGTCAGTGGAAGTACAAGCTGACTTATAATGAAACTACAACCCATGACTAATACCCACAGGCTGCAAAACTTTTAAAGCTCCTTCCATACTAATGTAAAATAGCTTCACTGGTCAGGAACACACAGTTTTTAGCCATGCACATGTTCCAGCACTAATCTTAAATGATGTATCAAATCCTTTTACACGTACTAGCATGAGGAACAATAGATGAACAGCGCTGACACATTTCATCTGCATGTTTCAACAAGCTTGTCTACGAATGTCAAACACAATTCATGTATTCAAATTAATCATCTTTCATCTCTTGTAGACCACACGCTGTAAGTAGTAACATTTTCTAAGAGGAAAGTCTGTCTTCATCTCGAGAAGATTAAGAAGCCTATATTTATAATTTTGTCATACAAGATCAAACTGTGTGTTACAAATAGTAACACCTTTAGTAAATGCCTTTATTATTGGT